GAATTTTATTTAATTTTATAAAAAAAATTTATACATATGTGCGTATATGCTAATATAAAAAAAAAATTTTATGAAAATCACCGAGTAATGAAAATCAACTTAATTATTTGTACAGTTTGAACTTGTAAACTTATAAGTTTTAATATATATACATATCGATATATATAATTTTCTATGGAGGTACACAAAATTTTATATGAATTAATTATTAATTAGTAAGTCCAAAACCGGATGACAGCTACGTACAAAGTTTTAGCGCTAGTACATTCTTTCTTAAGTCGATTAATTTTCTATGTCGATTAATTTACACTATGTCGATTAATTTACACTTTATCGTTATTATTATTATTATTATTATCGGATGTTTTAATAGCGATTATACTTATACTAATTACCATAATTGGTCTTCATTATAATAATACCGTGATCTTAACCGTTACTAAAAATAAAATACCTTACACACTTCACTATATTTTAAAAGGTTTTATTTTTAGTAATGAACCAATGAAAATCTATTTGAATTTGTTCAGCTTTGATAACAGTCAAACATTTCCACAATTTTGGATATCGTTGTATGAAATACTGTGCTGACTCTGCATGCAACCCCGAATTTTATATAAACAGATGAATTATTAAAGTTGATCGTTGGGAGTATGAAAACCGAAAACGAATGCTGGTTACAAAAATTCGGTATTTAAACCCTTAATTTAAATGTATGATAATTAAGTATTTACGTATCTCATGCATACACGTGCGCATTTTAAAAAATATTAGAGTTACTAGTGTCTTTGTCTACCTTTTGATGATCATCAATTTGCGTAAAATGGCTTGTGCAGAAATTACATCGCATCATAATTTTATGTAATTTTTATGCAAACCTCTCGGAACCAAAGTATTAAATTCTGATAACTGGATAATGTTTTTGTAACACCTTTTTTGAACGATATAAATGGTAGTGTAGAACAAGTTGTGATGGTTTTTTTTTTATCATATCAGATATACTGCATGATTGGTGATCTAAGGTCCGCAATTAGTTAATTCACGAAGTTGTTTATGATCATATTCTGCACGCTATATTGCGAGCATCAAACAATTATTTCGGTTTTTTTAATGACTATCATTTCTCATCTTTAAAATTTTTTTCCATTCTACCGAAGGCAAACTGCCTCCACAAAGTCAAGGAACATTCTTATCATAACATTTCCATTGCGCCTTAATTCACCTCATTTCCGAACTTTTTCATTCTTTTATATTGCTTTTTTTTTCTTTTCTTTTTTTGGCTGGTTCCGCATCTCTTGTTTGTTAAAAGTTTGATTCTTAAACTGCGTTGTGTTTTAAGTTTCAGATTGTTAATAAGGTTGGATGCTGTTTATGTTAAATATTAAAAAACATTAATTAAACAAACAAACCATTTCGTAAACTTTAAACTGAATGTGTGATGCCATTTTCTTTTTTTTACCGAATTGACAAATTTATTGCATAAATTTAAAGACATATTTGGCAGTAATCATAATAGCCACAATCATAATAATAATAATAATAATAATAATAATAATAAATCAATTCTCATCCTCATCTTTTTTTTTTTTTCGGGTTATCCTAAAATATTAAGAACTATGAATCAATCTAACAACATAAACCAGAGTCCTTATCGTCGTTCGAGCGAACCTACTACAAGAAAATCATCAATACTTAATGGAGTACCGGAATCAACAGGGATTCAAAGACGAACAAGTGAGACCTTTACTACATCTAATAGCATGAATGCAAGAAACTATGCAACATATAAGTCTCATTTACATGACTGTAGTATCCTGGAAGATGTTGAGACTGTAAATAATTCAAATAATCAAAATAATCAAGCTGTAAAATGGACTGTTCCGGGAACACAGTTACCTCCACGTGTCTCATCATTGTATCATTTACAAGAAAAACTAAATTCTTCACAAAATGCTTATCAAACTAACACAAAGCAACTTACGCAAAAGTCAAATATTCCTACTATTATACCATCAACGGGGATAGATGGCATATCTGTCGTTGGTACACAATCGCCTACAACAACTTCATTAGAAAGAAAACAGAAGCAAACTGCAAGAACTCTTCTAGAAAGGAAACCATCAATAATAAAAAGACCTTCTCTCGAGAGAAGGTCTGTACAAATTGTGAGAACTTCATCAGAAAGAAAGAGACCAAAATTAGTTGGAAGAACGCAATCCAAACGTACCGTAGTTAAGCGAAGTACTGCTATATCCAAGAGAAAAGACAAAAGAATTATTTTAGAAATGTCAACAACTTCAAATCAAACTTATGCAAATGATCCAACAGATATGGATGCTGATTTACCTCCATTAAGAAACAGAAAAACTCCCTGGCTTCCAGGTCCTCAACCCTCTCCAAAACTTATTCATGCTTCTTTAATTCCCCTTCCACAATACGTTGAAGGTGTTTCAAATAATTCAAACAAACGTTCTTATAATGTTTCGTCTTCCCGTTTAAGTATGGCAGCGTCTCGAATCTTAAGATCTTGTCGTCCAAGATATGTTTCATCAATTTTCATGTCTTCAGATTTATCTCCTGCAAAATTGCAAGAGAAAGATTTTTTTACTGTTCCTCAAGGAAATCGTGCTTCTCAGATATTTAGACGTCGATTGCTCGAACAAAGTTTGTACATGTCGTTCGGTGGTGAACTAACCGCATCTACAAAACCCCAATTAAAACGACGTCGAAAGACTAGGAAGGGTTACAATGCTAAACTTAAAGACAGAGAAGCAAGAAGAGAAAAACGTAGAAAGGAAAGACAAGAAAAAAGATTATCTAATGATCATAAAATCGATGATAAGGATCATCAAAATGTAAACCCAGTTGTTATCCCTAAGATACTAGATTCTGAAGAATTGGTTAAAAAAGTCGAGGAACAACTTCGTAAAAAAGAATATTTGATGTCTCCACCACCTCCACCAAGGTATATAAATCAACATGAGAATCAAATATCTGAGCTAATTCCAATACAAAGATCTAAAAGTAATGCCAGCAACGTTTCTTCTTTGTTTTCTACCCTTCCTGAAAGGAGGTCTATTAGGTCTGATGACTTAAATGACAAAATGTTGGAATCTTCTACTTCCGTTGAACCTTTTCCAACTCATTTAACATCACAGCGTAAAGATAGGTTGACCTATTCAACTACAGTTTTCGTTCAGCCACCTACAATATTAATGTCTCCTGATGAAGTAATTCATGATTTTGAAGATTCACAAATGGAAAAACAGGTGGAATCTACGGAAAAAAGAAGTGCTGATAATAGCAATCCAGGAACTCCATTATCACCTTTAAGTCCATCAATATACAAATTTGGTTCTGGGCTTTTAAGTTTATTTAATAAAGGATTTCATCGCGACACAAATTCATCAGCATCAGGTGCAAGTTCTCCCACAAATTATCCTCTTTCACCACGCTCACCTCTATCACCTAATTCTCCATT